ATACAATAAAATGGCAATGAGAAAGTAACTAGTAGCATTAGATGTATTTTGTCCATCAATAATTCCTTATTAAGAAATTCCTTATGATTCCACTCCCACCACCACTGCCAGTCTTAGTTGTTCTCACTGATTTATTTATACTAGGGAATAGTCCTTGATGAACATATTTCTTGGTTGCTCCGAGGCAAACAAAGGATGTTTAAGCCTTGTACCATATTTTATTCTGTTTGTGTTGTCTTTCTGTTTATTCTGTTTGTGTTGTCTTATTGTGTTGTTCTTCGAGTTGGGGGACTTTTATAAAGTTATTTGTCAGCATTTTAATCACACAATGGATGTTTTAATTTTTTGTTATATTGCCTAAAATGTAAGCCATGAAGAGATTAGTGATGAGAAATAGTACGTTCTGGAAAGCCCAATCTTAATCCTATCATTAATTTCCCACACCAAAATCCCTTTATCAGTGTTCTCCATGTCAAAGAACATTTTTCTTTGGCATACAACTCTGGACCATGCAGTATCTCCCTAAACTAACAATAAAAATGTTCCATTATAAAAACAACTTATAATATTTCATCTGGGCCATCTAGAAGATTGACCAGAAGAATCAACAATCATCCTAACTCATTTTCAAACTTTTTAATCAATTTATTATTTTTTATAAATACTATTTTTATAAATTTATAAATATTATTTTTATAAATAATTCAAGGCAGCAATCATACATAATACTCCTTTCTCCTCATGTTTTCTCATAGCAAAAACCTGCGAGGTGGGTTTGGCTGAAAGAGCAACTAGCCCAAAGTCAGCCAGCTGACTTTCATGACTAAGGCATGACTAGACCTCACAGTCTCCCAATTTTTAGCTTGGTGCCTTAACCACTAGATCAAACTGGCTTTCCTAATGTAATCAAATATTGTAATCCACCAACAGTCACTTTACTATGAGAGGGGAAGCTATGTAAACATGATTAATAAATAAAATAAATGGCACATTACAACTACTTCATATTCTTGGATCTTATACTTCTAATGTAAGTACTAAATAGGGTGGGTGGGTGCTTTGACATTAGTGAATCCATCTCTTAGCCTTTAAAATAGCTTCACCTTTTATACCAGATGTTAAAAAGTGCTTTCGCCTAGCTGATAACCCAACACAAAATGTGGGTCTTTCAATTTTCCAATTCTGGTTTAGAAAGTTTTGTTTTGTTAAAAGATTTTGTGCACACTCATTGCCTTTATAATAGAGGTACTAATCATAATTAAACTAATCTACAACTTGTCAAAAGAGGAGAAATAGAAGTGCTACAATCTTATCCAATTTATTTCTATTAAGATTGCCACATAATTAAAGAATTTTTAGTTGCTCATATGTTTTAGATTGATTCACTGATCAATAATATTTGCATATATAAACAAAACCTAAATGCAGCTGAGATTTTGGGGATGTTGAGGGAAGTTAAAAGAACTTCTGATTTAATTCAATGGACAAATGTTACCATTTCATTCAAGGAAAAGCTAACTTTCGTATTTTCTATTTCATTTCTTATTAAATGTGGATCACCATTGCCAAAGAACCTGCCAAATAAACAAATGGATCCTTAAATCATAGTCCTGCTGATTAGATTTGCCCTCAGAAATTAAAACTGTCCCTTACCAGTTAATCTGCTTTAGTATTAATTGATTAATTTTCTAATTAAACCTTGCACGTGTATTTCTATAGTTGTACATCATTTTAACTTGGTGCCTTATAAGCAGAACACTCACTGGATAGAGAAAACATGGGATAACTAAACTGTACAATACAACAGTTTTAACTTTTGTTGTAAAGCAAGCCTTGACTTAATTAAAAAAAAATGAGCAAAATTTATAAAACATCTTTGGATAAGCTACGGTGGCACAGTGGTTAGAGTGGAGCACTGCAAGCTACTTCTGCTGACTGCCGGATGCCTTCAATTTGGCAGTTCAAATCTCACCAGGCTCAAGGTTGACTCAGCCTTCCATCCTTCCTAGGTCAGTAAAATGAGGACCCAGATTGTTGGGGGCAATATGCTGATTCTGTAAACTGTTTAGAGAGGGCTATAAAGCACTGTAAAGTGGTATATAAGTCTAAGTGCTATTGCTATTGATATTGTACCATATATCATATGGCAACCAGGTGCACTGATTGCCAGTCTGCTTCCAGTTGCAATTCAAGGTGTTGGTCATCACCTTTAAAGTCCTGCAGGGCATAGGTCCAGTCTACCTGAGGAACTGTCTCACCCTAATGGGACCGGCCCATCCCACCTGCACTGGTAGAGTGGGCATGCTGCATATCCCATCACTCAAGGAATTTCAGCTGATGGGATCCAGGAGAAAAGCCCTCTGCTGTGGCTCCTGCCCTCTGAAACATATTAGCTCTGGAAGTGAGATTAGTTTCCATCCTCCTTACATTTTGTAAGAATTTATGACCTGCTCGCCAGATGGCTTGGAGACCAATGGGAGAGCTTCAGACTGGAGGTGGTTGAGTAATTAAAATTCAACCCCACCTCCCTCTGTGTGTCCAGCAACTCTTCTTTACCATCTTGTGTCCATGATTTTATCTGTTAATGGTTTTTATCTGCTGTGTTTTTTACAATGGATTTTAATGTTTTTTCTTGTTTTTATGTTGTAAGCTCTTCAGAGTCATGGATATGAGATTCTTCTTCTTTTTGTGCCATTTCCATCATCGGACATTGGCGATCATGTTGGCAATCCTATTTTTCTAGTGGATATGAGATGGATGGCAAATAGATTTCATAAATAAGTAAATCACATGACACAATTTTAAAGGATTATGAAAGAAATCTACCTGGGTTAGAACAAAGGTCCCTCTATTGTCATGCTTTGTTTTTGATCATGGAACACAGGAAGACTCTAGAAAGTTTAGAAGCAGAGTATGAAGCAAAAATTGGAAGTCTAAAGAAATCTTCAGCCTGTCTAGAGACATCTCCTAATAACTCATAGAATTCAGGACACTTAATCGATGCTGTGTAGAACTTCGGGGATGCGAATCTCATATTAATGCTAGTTCTTTATTGCCTTTCTGGGGTGAGGCACAGTTGTTTCTCATCTCTCAAGTTTTTTTAATGTTAGCAACTTATTTATACCACAACAGAGCTTTTTAATTAATCTTACTTTTGCAGTAGACTGGCTGTTTAAATTACTTGCTTAGGTTGTTGTTAAGACTTCTGTTTTTTTTCCTTTAAATCTTTTAGATATTAAAGGATTTAAGCCTTACCATAAGGAAGGGATTTATGCTCAGAGTTCCCATTGTCCAAGCATTGTCCCACATTTTCTTCACAAGTATTTCTTTCTACATATCATCTTCATCGATTTGGAAAGCTTTTCAAACACTCTGAGTAATATTTTGGAGTAAGGAGATGTTCAATTGTATAAACACAATTTTGTGCATTGTCATATTTAAGCCATAATATAATAATAGAAAGTAGGCACAAATCCATAATAATCTCATAACTCAATTATCAGTCACAAGGAAGGAAAACAGCCCTTTGGAATCTTTTGTGGTAACATTTTTTTTTCTTCTGTTGGACCCTGTGGAAAATACAATATTCAGGAAAGAAATATGGCCTTTATAATGTTCGTCTGCCAAATATGAACTATGTCCTTTATTTTGTTTTCCCAAGAAGTACAAGGTATATTTATTGTAGAAAGCAAGAAGATACTTAAATAAATTGAAGGATCTACCTAACTCCACTATCCTGTTTTTATTATAGTCAGTCAAATATCTCTTGGAAAGCCCAAAGTTAGAACTGAAGAAGCTTCTTGGATGAGAAGCAAAAAAATTTCAGAGAAAAAAAAAACCACAAGAAAGTCTTTTGGAAAAAGCAACATTAGGACAACCATGATCTGGATGATTGAGAATCTCCATATACATCTCTTGGAAAATTCACAAGGAGCTCATGGGTTTCCAGTTTCCATAAGTTTCATTTCCTAGCAATTGATATTAAGAGCATCTTGCCTTTGAGACTGCTCTATGAAAGGAATGCTTCTAGCATTTGTGTGTTTTAGGTGTTATTAAGAAGGACTGTAAGGTTTAATTAATGTATATGTTAGATTAGTTGTCAAAATATTACAATTCTGTAGTATTAGCTTGGGGAAAAGCCTACCAAATCAATGATTCTATATCTTTTAGATGCATGTTGTGATATTAATCAACAAGTAGCTGTTTCCAATTATTCTTATTATTTAAAAAATAATTTTAAGTTGCAAGCATTTAAAAGTTTAACAAAACCAATTATATTCTATTATTTTTAAAATTAATCCAGAAGAAAATACCTTTCTTAACAGGTAAGCATTGGGCATTGATAAAAGAAGAGTGTAGCTTCAAAAATATTTTAAAAGGAATAAATTTGATACTTTGCTCTGCCCAAACTAATTATGGTTTAATGAATTAAAATTACTTTAATTGGGTTGAAGACCTGTTGATTACATTACCATTTGTTTACAGCTGCATAAAATACTTCGAGAGACTGCTTGTTAAAAATAAAATAAAATCTCAACATGGGAAATAATCAGACTTGAGTTCTGTCAAAAAATATGTACCGTATATTCTAAGAAAATTGCATCGCTCCTAAAAGAGAAATGCATTTTATGTAACTCTTTTCTTTATTTTTAAACAAGGGTTAGAAATCTTGATAGTGCTGATTAACATGAAATAAAACATTTAGAAGATTAATCTTAAAGTGTTTATTTTTTGCATTTTTCTAAAATATTTCACTACAGCAGGCATTTTAATCTGTCAGATTTACTAGAATATAGGACAATTTTTGCATTAATTGTGAGTAGATTGGTATAAAATGAACTGTTACTGATTCTTCTCAGAAGGAAAAGCAATCTGACATTCCATGCAGGCAATACAAATTGCAGATGTTTTCCAGTCACCAAATTAATTGTTTTCTAACTTCAAAACTAGCTTCAAAACTCACAAAAACATTTTTTTCCCCTCCTGGTTTCATTATATAGCGTAGAACATGACTTCAGGCAACAAGAAGATAGGTTTCATCAAGTTTTGAAAGCATTGGATCAAGTGGAAGAGAGTCCTGTTTTGGTGACACTGCAAAGACAGCCATCTGATCATCCAGTCCCTGAGAAACAGGAAATAAGAAGAAAGGCGAAGAAAAAGAAATGCTTCTGGTGGATTTGAAAACCTTAAAAGATGGTATCAAACTTAAGATTTAGTCTAAATCACTCTTGGCCCATCGTGAATAGACTTTACATGTATAATCCTCATCTTTTCACATGCTCTGATTTTCTTCTTCATTTATTGATTTGTGGTAATTCTGTTTTGCCATGATTCCAATACTGGGATCAAAAATAATGGCAGCTAGGAAGTAAGGGAAATATCAGAGCTGGAGATCCATTTAGGAAAATAAAGATTTATTTGAATGCAGTATGAGCCAAGTGGAAAGCATTATTGTGTGGTTGTGGCAGCGGTGGTGGTGGTAAATATTATGGTCAGAAATATGCCTTTTCTAAATCCATGTAGAGCTCAATCTAAAAAAGTTAAAACTCGTACAATGTGATGAGAAAGCCACTTGCTTGATATTCAGATCGAACTGTTCTGAAACAGAGGACAAACAGTAAAATGAAACCTTACCTTTCCTTCTTTCCATAACTTCCTTACCAAGCAATTCTGTCATCTGAACATAACACGAGTATGATGGAAATAGGAACTTGTTTAGCCAACTTGATTCAGGATTTTCTGGAGCTGACAGGTTTCTGTTTATAGTTATTTTTTAATAGCTTTGTTCCCTGACAAATTGCTTTATAGCAATTCTGTATCGATTGTACCAAAGTGCACCTAACATTTTTTTCATAATGTATTTGTTTTAAATAATCAAAGCTAGCAGTCGGCAAAAATGTTGAGACAGCAAATATGTTAAAATGTTAAGAAATAACCTTTTTTCGTCCCAGCTTAAGTACCTAATTTTATTAGAGAAAACATGGCTTTGGGGTGAAAACCCTATATAACTGTAGGAATCCATCTAAGGCACAGCAGTCCTTTTAGAACAAAAAGGACTGAACTATTAATACTTAAACATTTTGTTTTAAAAAAAACTTACTCTAAAATTAGTGTACAGGTAGTCCTCAACTTACAACCACAATTGAGCCCAAAATTTATGTTGTTCAATGAGAAATTAGTTGAGTGAGTTTTGTCCCATTTTACAACTTTTCTTGCCACATTGGTTAAGTGAATCACTGCAGTTGTAAAATTAATAACACAGTTTTTAAGTGAATTTGGTTTCCCCATTGACTTTGTTTGCCAGAAGGTCGCAAAATGACTCTGGGCAGTGCAATTGTCATAAATGTGAGTCAGTTGTCAAGCATCCAAATGAAATCACATGACCATGGGGATGCTACAACGGTCATAAGTGTGAAAAATGGTCATGTTCCTTTTTTCAGTGCTGTTGTAACTTTGAACGGTCACTAAACAAACTGTTGTAAATCGAGGACTACCTGTACTATATTTTACTAGGAAGAACAACAAAAAAAAAAAGATATGGATTATAAAATAAAGTGTATTATTAAGAGAGTCATGCCAGACTATAAGAAACTTTCAGGAAGATTCTTGACAAAAGCATTTGCTCAAGGGACAGTCTCTTTGATTTGAGATAATTTCCTATACAATAAAGTTCAGTCACTGTAGAAGAAAAGGTTTTTCAAACTTTTTTAACATGAGAGATTCCAAGCCAATTTGTCTCCTGCTTAGAGGAGGTCTTACATTCTAAAGGAAAAAAGATCTAACTCATGAATTAGAGTCACATGAAAGTGAACAGAAATAAAAAACTGAAATCAATCAACACAGAATAATATAGTATTGGTTTTTGGTTTGTTCATTAAATATACTTATATTAAATATATACTTAAATATTTGTTCATTAAATATACTTAAATATATTAAGCAAGGTTCCTAATTCCTCCAGGTGAGATTTCTTCAGAAATGATAATCTGGAAGGAGGACAGAACTGGCAAACATGGATCCTTGTCTTTTCATTCTTTTGAAAAAAATCTGTGAGATCAAAACCTCCAGTTCATAGAAAAGGGATTCTTTCTACAATATATTTTCTAAATCTAATTGAATAAGTGGAAACATGAAAGCACTTTGTTTTTTTGAAAACTTCATGAACAGGAAAATGATTTCTATATCAGGGGTGTCAAACTCACGGCCTGAGGGCCAGATGCGTCATGCACTGGCCATGCCCACCCCAGTTTAATGAAGGGGAGGTGATGATACATTACATGATGACAATGTGATGATGCAAGTTTGACACCCCTGTTCTATATAAATTGAAAAATAGCTTTATTTTATTATTTAATAGGCACAGTATACTGTATATATGACCATCTGAAAGCCAAAAAAGGGTAAATTCAAATTCTGAATATTTATAATATAGCAGACTATCAACAATACTAACAATTTTAAATCAGACAAAAAAAAGAGAAAAACACCCATGGTTTTTATGAAAGATATTTCTTAGTTTACACCAAGAGTTTAAATCAAAATGTTGTTTCCAAATAGTTGGGCTAAGTAATTTCAAATTTTTATCTATTTCATAACTGCTTATCATGAAAATACTATGTGTAATTCTGTGAAATTAAATATTTTTTAAACTAGACAATTTCATTAAATGCAGACTCCAAAATACTGAAATTACTGGCAGCCACAAGACTCAAGTTATTGATGTGCCTCTAGTAATGGTAAGGGTGGTTTTTTTCCCAGCATTTTACCACAGCTGTACTCATTGAAATAGTGGACCATTTTCACAGGCCCAAATCCTAATAACTGAGTAACTAGATGGAAGAAATCCTGTAATTTTCAGCAGTCTATGTTATCATGACTGGCATTCAGCTTCCAATTACAATCCATGAATGATCTGTTCCTATTGTCTGTCCTTCAGTCCATAAAGATGAATACTGGCATCCTAACCAAGATGAGGCAGCCACATAATCCAAATTTGAATTTCTTTGCTGGATCTAGTCTTATCCTATAGGCCAAGCAGAATGTAGAGCAAAAAAGAAAAAAAGAAAGGAAAATGTTGCTTTGTTGGATTTGTAACAGCAATCTCTTTTAATAGTGGAAGAGAATCGTCTACCTCTTTCTTTCCTTTGATCAGCATTGAGAAAGATGGACAAGGAAGCCACCTGTTAATGAGACAGACCCAACATTTCACACCTTGCTTAGGAATTTCTAAAAAATGCCTTGCTGTTAAAGTTGAAAATGAAATGCTTGGGGAAAAAAACATGATCTAGTTTAATCTAGGAGAGCAAGTACATTAGTAAGTGCAAGTTGTAAGAAGAAATTTTAGGAAGGGGAAATATTAGGCTCCCTAGATCTTCAATAGATCTCCCTAGATCTTTAATAAACACAATTTAAGAGTTATTGACATAAGGTTTATTGCTCAGTATTGAAAAGTAGTCCTTTTTTTTCCTTTTTAAAAAGTGCTGATAGCTGAGGATGATATCAATCCATATCCAGAAGACCTTAATAGTAGGACTGCATAAACCTACTACCCAGTTATAGGTTTCAATAACACTAGCTGTATTCAACTTATGGTATGCTATGAAAACATGGGGGGGGGAAGTAAAGAGCAGAAACATTTGTAAAATATTGTATAGCACATATTGCATATTCTGAATTTATTGTACTTGAAATTACTTTGCTCAGCAGAGAAAATGATTTTCTAGGAAGAAAACTGGAAGAATAAAACAGTTTTCTTTGAACCACATCTTCAATAAAATGATTATTCCCATGGTACAATAAATACCTTCTCCTTTTACTCACAGCCACAACTCTTGATAAACAGGCAGCAGACTCTAATATAAATTACTTTCCTGATGAACTGTACTAATCAAATATAATGTTTTGTATATTTCTAGATTCTTTTATTGGCATAATCTCTTTTGCAATAAATTGACATATTTTCTTCTGTCTCAGGACTCAATAATTTAAGAGCTATGTTTATGGTGATTGAAGTGAATGCAATTACTCCAACTAGGGTGAATGATTCAACAGCTGTTTTCCTAACAAGTCTTTCTCCTTACCGGTTTTACAAGGCATGACGAAAATTCAGTTTCAGGATGGCATTCTTTAGGTGCAAGGGAGCTAAGGTTTTCAGAAATTCTCCTTTTATTCCATAATGTTGAAAATCCTCATGCAGGAAACTGAATCACCTGAACACCTGCTTACAGATCTGCATCAAGAGTCAGTCCTCCTGCCTTTAGCAGCCTGTTCAGTGGCCATCTGGACCAAGTAGCTGTGATGAGAGTTTCTTTTTAATCCTAGCTCTTTCTCTTTGCTTTTTCTTCTTGAAGGACAACAGTAAATTAATGGGCTCAAATAGCTTTTTGTAAGGGAAAAGAAACTTCGATGAGAAAGCAGAATATGATCAGCAGCAATGTAGAACCTCGGACAAGTATGTTCCCCTATTTGAACATTTATTTGAGAGTAAAGTACCATTGAATTCAGTGGGGTTGCATTTAAGAAAGCATTGTTAGGATTGCCCTGTCTTCTACAGCATGACTTATCTTATCAACACAAGTAGATTTTTAAAAATCCTTTTAAGTTAACATATGATATGATTTGTCAAATTTACAGTTTCATGGAAATGGTCTCCCAATGCCACAATGTTTAAAAATTGCAAAGTGCTTTAAAATTGCATTTCTTGTAAGACAGGTTCCAATACTCTGCTGCCTACATAGGACCATCTAACGAAACCGTTGAAATATAATTTTCTATACCCACTCACCTCTCTACCCAAGCAGTTATCACTTATCTTCAAGTATGTAAGGTGATTCCTTAAAAAATATGAATACTCTTTGGGAAAAATAAAATGCAAAGGGCAAGTGAGCAGACTTACACCAAAGAAAAGAACTATAATTGTTTTCTTATCAAACCAGCTTCAGGTTTCAGAAAAAATATAGCCACAAATGTTTTACTTTCATTATTTTACTAAAACTGATAAGCAAGTGGAATATATTTAATTTCCTTAGATAATTTGCACATTGTTAGCTAACCCATGACATTTCAGAGCATAAAATAACTGGAAGCCGATTATTCAGAGAGTTTATCTGTCAGAATCTAAAGCACAATTACGATTGGCATAAGGCAACAAAGTAATCCAAAAGATTTTCAATGTCCTTACTTAGCAAATTCTGTGAATTCCATTAGCCACTGGCTTCATGTCAAAACAACTTACTGCAGAGTCATACAACTGGAAGATTTTCATCCCTGAATTTTGTTTTTTCCCATCAAGTCTAGATATTTCTAGGCATGGCCAAATTTAGGGATAGTCCAGCCAGCTGACCAACCATGGCAATGTATTCAGAATATGCATTGCAAGATCTTGTCCCAGCCATTCTGGGTCAACAGCAGATGATCCTAACTGGACAACAAATTTATCTTCATTTGTTAATCTGCTAACAGTGGCTGCCCCAATTCTGCATTTGCACCTTTTGCTATTACTAATATTACTAATATTATTATTACTCAAACAGCAATACTATATTGTTTACATGAATAATAAATTAATGTATAAATAATTCTTACATAATCAAAAACATATTGATTAACATACATCCATTCCTGGTGTCATATATATTATCCTCTCATCATACTTCATGCTGAATGTCATAGGACTTTTCCCATAGGCAGCTTTTATCAGCAGGCAATGAAACTCATGTGTGCCAACACTGGATGGCAAAAGTTTTGTCTAGTCTGCAAAGGGCCAGAATATCTTTAGACAGCATTTGCATTTCTCTGATACACAGGTTAGTGATTGTGATTTGATATATACAACCCAATACATCACTCTAAAAGGCAGAAATAATTCCTACGTGCAAGTAATAAAGTGGATCTAAGACAATGAGGCTATAGCAAAAGGCATCAAAGTTAATCTTCATATAATAAACGTGATATAAAGAAGTGAAACCAATTTTTCTAGGTTAGGTATTTCCACCTTGGATAAATGGAAAAGGTGAAGCATTATCCAATTTGTCAGGCCATATTTAAGCAGAAGGCCTTGAATGTCACAGATAAGATGTCATATAACTGTGATTCTAAAAATTATGAAAACAGAAGCAACTGAAAGGAGATAAAGATGACTAAAAGACACATTAACTACAATGTTACACACCTAATGAATAGTTTAAGACAGTTGCCTTTGATTTAGTGGTCTCCAGATTCATTAAATTACAACTTCCATTATCACAAGCAATAAAAATTTGGGGCTATCCTGGCTTGAAATGATGAGTTTAGTGCAGAGGCACCAAGTTGGAAAATATCCCATTAAAAGAATATGTAAGCAAAAGTGCGCAAAGATGAGAAATGACATTTTGGAAAGTGTATCCAATACAATGTTCATTATGCGTGACACCTTTCCTAGTATCAGTGGAATGCTAAGAGGTGCTGACAACTCAAAATTGCGAATAAGAGCAAAATGCTTCTTAATTCTAAGCCAAGAATATCATGACCTAGAAAAGCAACCTGCCTGGACCATCTGAAGCAACCACTGGACACTTTAGATGAACATCATTTATTCCCTTATTTATAGTACCCCTTTTATTTCATGTAAGCACAGACATTTCCACTGAAAAGAAGGGGAGGCCTAACACAGATCTCTAAAGTGCAGCTGTTGACATTATTCAAGGAGATGTAATAGCTTTGGGCAGATTTCAACAAATCACCTTCACAGTTCTCCTGCGTCATTCTCCCACTAAATATTAGCTACTTGACTCAAGCCCAACTCTGTCTCTTTAGTTAGCAGGCTTGTGCTTTGCAAAGTACATGTGAATAATCATGGCTCTTATACTCGATATTGAAATGTTCGTAGTATGGCATTATTGTTACTAATGAAGACTGCACTTTAATGAACTTTCAGTAAATTTAGAAAAAAAAAATCATTTTGCTAACTTCTCTCTTGCACGCCAATTATCTGTATATCAAAGGCTTGAAAGAAGGTGAGATTATTTTCCATTTTGATTTGGAATACTGCCAAGACATCTCAGAGGAAATTCTTATTCTCCACAGGTAACCAAACAAGTGGCATTTTAGAAAGACTTAGCCACCATCTGGAACAAGGTCAGAGATTATGCAAAGCTATACCATGGTCAGAAAGGATTTTCCTTACTCTTTGACTATTCATTTCTGAAAAGTGGCTATTTCCTTGTTTCACATTTTAGATAAGTAGATGGCTAAAATGTATGAAGAGTAGCGTTTCCACATGTATTTTTTTTTTAAAGGAGAAATGGCATAACTAAAAAGACTAATTGAATTGCCCTTCAGAGGTGGGAATAACTTCCATGAAAAAGTTTTAAACTATGTAGACATTAAGGCAATTTAATAATCAAATGAAGGAAAACAAAGCTGAGGTTTGACAGTTTCTGTTCAAAGATCCTTTTTTACCAAAGCATTCATAGATTACATTAATAATACATGTTATTACATTAATAATACATGTCATGCACTGCTTGAAATCTAACATACAATGAAAAGCAGACATTATCTCAGTTGGAATCACACTGACATCATGATAATGCCAGAAGACAAAGGCAATAGTTTAGTAGCCATGGTCACAATGGCTGCCAAAAATAAATATAAGGGGTATGTAAATGGAATTGTATTCAGAACAAATCTGAACATAAAACAGCTCTTGTGAAAACAATATTCAGAGGTAAGTCAATATCAACTGAGATACCATTTATAAGAAAGAAATATTAAAGTGTCTATATTTACAAACTGTCAACCTGAAAGAGCAATCTTTAAAACTGTCAGACCGGTCATTTTCTATACTTGAATATCTCAACACTGTAGTTATCTCTAGAAATGGTTCATCGAAAACAGAAGAGGAAAAAAATTGAATATTTTTTATCCCAGTGATATTTTTGTGTTTCGAAGTATCAATCTTACTGAAAATTACTCAATCTTCAAAATTTGTATCTCCTGCTTCCATAAAATGATTGGTTGTCAACCCTTGATGACACACTTATCCAAGTGGTTCTTTGTCAGCTACACTGTGCTGTTAGGAATGGTTTCTGCTTTCTGAAAGCTGAAGAAACCAAGAATGAGGATCTACCAAGATGTTGTGGCCTTCTTTTGACATAGATATCTCAGCACTGATTTTTGGCCCTACATCTACTTCTTATATCACAAAGCAGATGGATCCATCTAGGTATTTGAGCCAGTAGATACTTTGGAGATGGATTTGTAAACTTATTTAACTTGCTTTCTTCATCAAAATAACATTGGCTATTCTTCATTATAACTTTCATTTTGTAAAACACAAACAAAGTGATGAACCAAACCAAATTGTAAACTACAATTGGCTAAATAGCACATGAAAGAGGCTCTGTCTCCTCCTAACTATATCTATCTGCAGTAATGCGAGCCTTGGAGAGAGAAAGCTTGCTTGGGGGAAGTTTCCAATGCCAAAATAAGGAGACCTTTTTCAGGCCCCTCTTTTCTGTGGATGGTGGAAGCCCATTAAAGGGCCCTGCCTTGAAAGACACATTTTCTCTGCTTGACTGCTTTGTATTTCTCATTGGTGATGCTTCTGTGCACATCATCTCCCAAGCCCTAGTAAAGTACATTTACAAAATGAACGACTCACGATTAAGGGGTCATCTCTTCCCATTCTAATGACAGTCCTGTTAATGGTGCGCAGCAACTGGATCATTATTTCTTGTATATGCTGATAGGTTGATGCCTGTAAAAAAATAATCTTTTTCAAGATAATAAAGAATAATCTACAAATAAAATAAATGTGTTGACTTAATCTGTATCAGATGAACATAATATTTAGCAGCATGGAAGAAACTAATCATACACTCACTGCTATTTTACATGGTAATACAATTTGACTCTTAAGATGGTCAGAAGATTCATGCTCGCCTTGTTCAAAAGCATGGGACATGGGTCATGTCCTTGACA